GCTACTCAGGGGGCTGAGGCATGAGGAATGCTTGAACCTGAGAGGTGGAGGCTGCAGTAAGCTGACATCATGCCACTGCACTCCATCCTGGGACATAGAGAGAGACTGTCTTAAACAAACTAAAAAGCCTGGGCGTGGTGTCTCAGACCTGTAATCCCAGCACTTGGGAGGCAGAAGTGGGTGGGCAGATCACCTGAGGTCAGCTGTTGAAGACCAGCCTGGCCAACACAGTGAAACCCCATTTCTATGAAAAATACAAAAATTAGCTGGGCATGGTGGCAGGTGCCTGTAATTCCAGCTACTCAGGAGGCTGAGGCAGGAGAATTGCTTAAATCTGAGAAGCAGAGATTGCAGTGAGCTGGGATTGCACCACTGCACTACAGCCGGGGCAAAAGAGTAACACTTTGTCTCAAAAAAGTAAATAAATAAATAAATATTAATAATCAACACTTACTAGCCACCCCTGAGAGTTCAGTTTAGTGAAAATGGGCTGAAAAGCAGCCTACTGTGTCCCAGGAGGTCACAGATGATCATGGGGGATGGGCCTTAAGCCCATCAAGAAAGGTAAAATCCTCAGAAAAACACACTGAGCCACGAGCCTGTTGGATCAGAGCACAGCAACTCTAAAAAAGTAATTTTCGCCGGGCGCGGTGGCTCAAGCCTGTAATCCCAGCACTTTGGGAGGCCGAGGCGGGTGGATCACAAGGTCGAAAGATCGAGACCATCCTGGTCAACATGGTGAAACCCTGTCTCTACTAAAAATACAATAAAACTAGCTGGGCATGGTGGCGCGTGCCTGTAATCCCAGCTACTTAGGAGGCTGAGGCAGGAGAATTGCCTGAGACCAGGAGGCGGAGGTTGCGGTGAGCCGAGATCGTGCCATTGCACTCCAGCCTGGGTAACAAGAGCGAAACTCCGTCTCAAAAAAAAAAAAAAAAAAAAAAAAAAAAGTGATTTTCAGCTGGGTGTAGTTACTCATGACTGTAATCCCAGCACTTTGGAGGCCAAGGCGGGCGGATCACCTGAGGTCAGGAGTTGAAGACCAACCTGACCAACATGGTGAAACCCCGTATGAAAAAAAAAAAAGTCAGCATGGTGGCACATGCCTGTAATCTCAGATTCTCAGGTAGTTGAGGCACGAGAATTGCTTCAACCCGGGAGACGGAGGTTGCAGTGAGCTGAGATCATGGCACTGCACTCCAGCTTGGGCAACAGAATGAGACTCTGTCTCAAAAAAAAAAAAAAATTTTTTTTTTTCACACTACATCTGAAGAATCAGGAGCTGAGCAAGAGGGCTCAGGGTTGGGATCTTTAGGCAGCAGGCAGTGCTCATAAAAGGTGTTAAATGAGATGGAATTAGGCTTGGTTGTTTTGGGGAAATGAAAGGATTATGTGGCAGGAGTGTGGGAAACCAGTGGAGAGGGGCCGGGTGTAAGGCTGGACAGTTATCCCATTCTTGTTTCAACTGGACAGATTCTGTGAAGTCAGAGAAGATGAAATCCTTCTGCAAAAATTGTAACAGTGAGAAAATTGTAGCCGGGCACGGTGGCTCAAGCCTGTAATCCCAGCACTTTGGGAGGCCGAGGCGGGTGGATCACGAGGTCAAGAGATTGAGATCATCCTGGTCAACATGGTGAAACCCCGTCTCTACTAAAAATACAAAAAATTAGCTGGGCATGGTAGTGCGTGCCTGTAATCCCAGCTACTCAGGAGGCTGAGGCAGGAGAATTGCCTGAACCCAGGAGGCGGAGGTTGTGGTGAGCCGAGATCGCGCCATTGCACTCCAGCCTGGGTAACAAGAGTGAAACTCTGTCTAAAAAAAAAAAAAAAAAAAACAGTGAGAAAATTGTAACAATGAAAGAGATCTGCTCTAACCAACCCCATCTTGCCTTTGCCTTTAATCTCCAAACTGCCCTTAATCACTCCTGGGCTTGGACCAAGCTAACTATGGGAGACATTTAATTTATAGGTGTTGGCCCAGCAAGGTGGCTCACACCTGTAATCCCAGCACTTTGAGAGGCTGAGGCGGGCAAGTGACAAGGTCAGGAATTCGAGACCACCCTGGCCAATATGGTGAAACTCCATCTCTACTAGAAATACAAAAAATTTATAATAATGGTGTCAGGCATGGTGGCATGCACCTGTAGTCCCAGCTACCTAGGAGGCTGAGGCAGGAGAATTGCTTGAACCTGGGAGGTGAAGGTTGCAGTGAGCTGAGATCACTTCACTGCACTTACAACCTGGGTGACAGAGTGAGACTCTGTCTCAAAAAAAAAAAAGAGGCCGGGCACGGTGGCTCAAGCCTGTAATCCCAGGACTTTGGGAGGCCGAGGCGGGTGGATCACGAGGTCAAGAGATCGAGACCATCCTGGTCAACATGGTGAAACCCCGTCTCTTCTAAAAATACAAAAAATTAGCTGGGCATGGTGGCGCGTGCCCGTAATCCCAGCTACTCAGGAGGCTGAGGCAGGAGAATTGCCTGAACCCAGGAGGCAGAGGTTGTGGTGAGCCGAGATCGAGCCATTGCACTCCAGCCTGGGTAACAAGAGCGAAACTCCGTCTCAAAAAAAAAACAAAACAAAAAGATTTATACATGTTCTTTTTTTGAGATGGAGTCTTGGTCCACCTCCCTGACTACTCAAGGAATTCTGCTTCAGCCTCCAGAGTAGCTGGGATTACCAGTGTGAACCACCACACCCATCTTTTTTTTTTTTTTTTTTGAGACGGAGTTTCGCTCTTGTTACCCAGGCTGGAGTGCAATGGCGCGATCTCGGCTCACCACAACCTCCGCCTCCTGGGTTCAAGCAATTCTCCTGCCTCAGCCTCCAGAGTAGCTGGGATTACGGGCACACGCCACCATGCCCAGCTAATTTTTTGTATTTTTAGTAGAGACGGGGTTTCACCATGTTGACCAGGATGGTCTTGATCTCTTGACCTCGTGATCCACCCGCCTCGGCCTCCCAAAGTGCTGGGATTACAAGCATGAGCCACCGCGCCCGGCCCTCATTTATTTATTTATTTTTTTTTAAATTTTTTTTTGAGACTGAGTTTCGCTCTCGTTACCCAGGCTGGAGTGCAATGGCGCGATCTCGGCTCACCGCAACCTCCGCCTCCTGGGTTCAGGCAATTCTCCTGCCTCAGCCTCCTGAGTAGCTGGGATTACAGGCACGCACCACCATGCCCAGCTAATTTTTTGTATTTTTAGTAGAGACGGGGTTTCACCATGTTGACCAGGATGGTCTCGATCTCTTGACCTTGTGATCCACCCGTCTCGGCCTCCCAAAGTGCTGGGATTACAGGCTTGAGCCACCGTGCCCGGCTCCTCATTTATTTTTTAAAAACTTTTAGTAGAGTTAGGATTTAACCATGTTGGCCAGGCTTGTCTCAAACTCCTGACCTCAAGTAATCTGTCCACCTGCTGGGATTACAGGCATGGGCCACCGTGCCCAGGCCTTTAGTTTCTAGTTTAAATGAGAATAACCCTTCCCAAAACTAAGCTACTTTTGTAATGCTAATGAAAAGCCATCAGGTTAGGAGGATGAGTGGAGCCTGAATTCTGCAAGGTCTAGAGGTAGATTAATACAAAAATTAGCCGTGCGTGGTAGTGCATGCCTGTCATCTCGGGTACAAGGGAGGCTGAGGCAGGAGAATTGCTTGAATTCTGGGTTGCAGTGAGCCGAGATTGCGCCAGTGCACTCCAGCCTGGTGACACAGCGAGACTTTGCCTCAATAACAACAAAAAGGTAAAAATGAGAGGTAGAGGCTGGGTGCAGTAGTGCAGGCTTATGTCTGTAATCACAGCACTTTCGGAGGCTGAGGTGGATCACGAGGTCGAGAGTTTGAGACCAGCCTGGTCAACATAGCGAAACCCCGTCTCTACTAAAAATACCAAGAAAATTAGCTGTGTATGGTGGTGCACCCCTGTAGTCCCAGCTACTCAGGAGGCTGAGGCAGGAGATTCACTTGAACCCCAGGGGGTGGAGGTTGCAGTGAGCCGAGATCGAGATACTGCATTCCAGCCTGGGTGACAGAGTGAGACTCCATCTCACAAAATAAAACAGAAAAAAAAAAAATTAGAGGTAGATGATTAGTCATTATTCTAGAGGTCACAAGATACGCAATTTCCTCAATGACTTCTGCAGATAACATCACTAATGTTAGAAACAGATGCTTGGTGCTGCAAAGAAAAATTAACACTGAGACAAAGAATCTTTCAGCAACACAAATTTTATTTCCTGAACTGCAGGAAGGGTACCCTCACTAGCCACCTTGCCACAAGAGTATAATGAACAAATGAAAAGCAGACAAGTTGATCCCTTATGAATTTGGGGTTGTCCTTACTGCTGTGTCTTATCTCCATTGGTTGGAGCCAGACCTCACAATGTAAACTAAAACTCGATTGGCTCACAACTTAAAACTTTTTCAAATAGGTAAAAGCAATGGAGAGCTGGGACAAGCCTGTGAGCACGTCCAGCACAGGTATCCTGGTTAAAGTACAAGACATAGAAGGTACTATGTGCCTGTAAGCATGGCATGTCTAACAGCTACATAGGATAGGGCTTAACAAAGAGTTATCAGTACACGTATTCTTTTATTTTTTTCTTTAAAAAAGGGGTTTCACCATGATGGCCAGACTGGTTTTGAACTCCTGACCTCAGGTGATCCACCCACCTCGGCCTCCCACAGTGCTAGGATTATAGGCATGAACCACCACGCCCGGCCAGCACACTTATTCTTTAACAGTAAAGAGAACTTTAAGGAGGAACTTTTCTACTTCCCACAGTAGGAATCTAAGGTTTCTCCCCGTTGACCAGGCTGGTCTCGAACTCTTGACCTCAGGCAATCCACCTGCCTCAGCCTCCCAAAGTACTGGGATTACAGGCATGAGCCACCCCACCTGGCCTGAGGTGCTTTGTGTTATGCTCTTCTCTCCCCAGCTACCTCGGGTAACTGTAAGTAGGATGCTATCAGTTTCTGACACACACACACAGACGCTGCTTGCTACAAATCAAAAGGCTTTATTCCTTACATAAACCCACACGTAGAAAAAAATAAATAGTTAAATTATAGGCAAACCAGTTGGTCTTAGCCACGCCTCCCACTGAGGTCCAGGGGACCTAGACAGGAGGGGGAGGGTGTGGCCACAGCTTGGCTCAAGGGTGTGGCCTGAACTGGGGATGAAGGGACAGAGGGGGAAGGCGAGGTCTCGGTGAGGGCAGGGATGGGGGCTAAAGGTGGGTTCCTGAGGCGTGCCCAGGCTCTGGCCCGGGCAGTAAGGGTGAGGCAGGGGCTCAGCAACTCCTGGGTCTGGGCAATGCGGCGTGCAAAGCGGCTGCGATCCCGGGCAAGCTGCTCCCAGGGGCCCTGGCGGGCGGCGTGGGCTGGCCCTGCCCAGACAGCCAGCAGATGGACGGTGACCTTCTCAGAGAAGTGGACCTGGGGGCAGACATGGGGACACAGAGAGGAAATGCACACAGCCATGGGAATCCGGATGGGGAGGGCAGGGAGAGAGAGAAGCAAACAAAAATTAGTTACACAAAAATGCTTTCTATCTGGCGAGTCACGTCCCTGTCACTGTCACAGGAATCTCCGTCTGACTCACTGAAGGCAGAGGTGGTTTCCTGGGGCTGCCATGAGCCACAGCTGCTCCCTCCTCCCCCAGGGGCCTGGCCTCTTACAAGGGATTGCATGACAGCGTACACAGCCCTCCCTATGGAGGTCACATGCAACCCTCTGCGACTACGGGGACCCAGGAGTCTCAGCCTCCAGCCCCGCTTCTCTCTAAGACTCAAGAATCTGGGCTCTCTCGCACCATTACACTCCAGCCTGGGTAACAAGAGCGAAACTCCGTCTCAAAAAAAAAAAAAAAAAAAAGAATCTGGGCTCTCAGCACCCACCTTTCTGGCCTTTAAGGGAGTCTCAGGGTCCAGATCTCGGGTCAGTGATTCTGGGTGCTTGAGCCGCCTCTGCAGTCGGAGGGGTAACCTGGGAGGAGCCCAGGGAGGCGGTGGCTGCTCTCCGGGTACATAGATGGCCACTCGGAAGGGGCAGGGCTCAGTTTCTCCCCAGTACTCAGTAGCTTCCTCTTCCTCTGTCTTCTTCCCAGGTCGATATACCCAGTCCCTGAAGCGGGCACTCTGGGCTGGGTGGGATGGATGTGGGGTTGACTCAGTTTCTCCCACAGCTGCTTCTGAATCATCTTCCGTATCCTCACTGTCTGCATCCTCGTCTTCCTCCTCTGTGTCCTCTTCCGGCCGATACACCCAAGCCTTCAAGAAACCACTTGCGGAGGGTGTGGAAGCAGAAGTCTCAGCTTTTCCCTCATCCTCAGCTGATCCCGTATCACTGTCCTCATCTTCCTCCTCCTCTGTGTCCTCTCCTGGCCGATATACCCAGGACTTCAAGAAAGCACTTGCAGGGGGTGTGGAAGCGGAAGTCTCAGCTTCTCCCTCATCCTCAGCTGATCCCGTATCACTGTCCTCATCTTCCGCCTTCTCTTCCTCTGTGTCCTCTCCTGGCTGATACACCCAGGCCTTCAAGAAGGTACCTGTGGCAGGAGTGGAAGAGGAACCCTCAGCGTCTCCCTCTTCATCTGATCCAGAGTCACTGTCCTCATCTTCTTCCTCCCCTTCCTCTTCCTCTGTGTCCTCTCCTGGCTGATACACCCAGGCCTTCAGGAAGGCACTTGCGGCAGGGATGCAGGGAGGATCAGCTCCTCCATCCTTCTCGGCTGCCCCCAAAGCCTTGACCTCACCTTCCTCTTCATCACTGGGTTGGCATCGCCAGGCCCTGAGCTGGGGACTCGGAGCTGGGGCTGAGGAGTGTGGCCCTGGGGCAGCTTTTCCTTTCGCAACTTCTTCGTGTGCCTTTTCCTTCTCCTTGGACGCCTCTCCTGAATGATACTCCCAGGCCGTGGAGTAAGAGCCTGAAGATGTGGGTGACACAGGGGTCTCCCTGGCTCCTTGACTTTTTTCTGTTCTTCCGTCGACCTCCGTGGCTTGACTCTCTTCTTCCCCTGGGCAAGACACCCAAGTGCCGGGCTTGGATCCTGGAGACAGGACGGAAGTGGAGGTTCTGCAAGCTTCTTCCTCTGCAGCTTCTTCATCGTCCTCCTCCTCTACCGCTGAACAACACTCCCGGTGTGACAGAGGATAAGGGAACCTGTTGACTCCCTCATCTTCAGCAACTCCCTCTTCCTTGGCTTTCTCCTCCCCTGGGTTCTTATCAGAAACTTGCAGGGTCCTTATCAGAAGGCTGGGAGACAGGGGAGCTCGCTGGCCATCTGCAAATTGACTTCCCTGCCCTCTAGGGACACCGGTTGCTTCTTCCTCATTGTACTTATTGTCATCATCTGAAAGTCCCCAGGCTTCAGGAAGGGAAGTGCTGGTTTTCAGGTCCAGCTCTTCTCTGTTCCCTTCAGGGCGTCCACTGTCTTCAGCCTCCTCTTCAGAGTATCCGCCCCAAGGGGTAGCGGGGGTTGTCAGAGGAGTCTTAGCTTCTCCCTCCAGGCCAGCTTCTGCTCCTTTTACTGCTTCTACCAGCCAGGGCTCTGGAGGTCCCGGGCCCCTCAGGCGGCTCCAGGCCCGGCTGAGGAAGCCCATCACTGGGGACAGGAGGAAGAAAGGGTGGGCATCCCTCCAGCGGGCAGCCTGATGGGGTGCTTGGCCTGGGGCCATGTGTCTGGGCTGGAAAAGGGGGAGGAAAAAAATAAAGTTGAGGAGCCATTAAGGAGATGGCATTCGGGCATGACTATGAGTCATAGCAACAAAAATAGTAACACAACTATTGTAAACACGTGAGCCTCTGCCCCAAATTCCTTTCTGATCTCAGCCACTCCCCTCTGTCCCTTGGCTCCATTCTCTCTCATCACTCAAGAGCCAGGAATCTGAGCCCCTAGTTCTTCCTTAAATCCAAGGTTCCAAGCCCCCAGCCTCCTCTTTGCTCAGACGCCGAAATCCCAGTTCCAAGAACAAGTCTTTTACTTGCTTCCCTTGGGGATAAGGTCATAGTCCCTAGCTAGCTCATCCTGCTGAAGATTGACAAGTCAAACCCCCACACGCTCCTCTCTTGGAGACTCAAACGTTCTGACCCGACCCCCCCACTTGCCAGATGATTCCTTCAAGAGGGACCCAAGAATCTGACTTCCAGATCCCTCCTCCCTCAGGCTCAGGACTCCAGGATCCCAACCCCTTCTCCTTCTTAAATCTGTGCCCCCAGCCCCGTGGGGACCCAGGCGTTCCGACCCCTTACTCACCGGCTGGGGACTGCACGTCACCCCGGGGGTAGGAGCGCCGGCTCGGGCTGCCAGAAGCGATCACAGGTCCGGACGGCTAGGAAGGCCAGCGCGTTCATCTCACCCTCAGGCGTTGGGATTCTGGGAACTCAGAGTATCTATGGCTGCCTCAAGCGCGGAGGCGACAAGCGGGCGCAAGGTCCTGTGGCGTCTAGCACGTGAACAACAATCCGGGTGGTAACCAAGAAAATGTACGCAGAATGCGTCCTCGAAGCTTTTATAGTCTACCTCGCCCGGCGTGCTGACGTCACGGGGAGAGGCGGGGTTTCGAGACCACACCCCGAAGGGTGAGAAGTGAAAGTAAGACAGGACTTTTCGGGGAGAGTCCAACCTTTGTGACGTCACAGCGCAGTTTCCGCTCGTGACCACGCCTCCCCAATCGGCGAACTGTCAATCAAATGCGTGGTCCTGCCTCAACCGCGGACCAGTTCTCGTACCTCAGGGCAGATGCCTTCCCACCCCAATTTATTTAACTATTTATTTATTTATTTTTTGAGACGGAGTTTCGCTCTTGTTACCCAGGCTGGAGTGCAATGGCGCGATCTCGGCTCACCGCAACCTCCGCCTCCTGGGTTCAGGCAATTCTCCTGCCTCAGCCTCCTGAGTAGCTGGGATTACAGGCACGCGCCACCGCGCCCAGCTAATTTTTTGTATTTTTAGTAGAGACGGGGTTTCACCATGTTGACCAGGATGGTCTCGATCTCTCGACCTCGTGATCCACCCGCCTCGGCCTCCCAAAGTGCTGGGATTACAGGCGTGAGCCACCGCGCCCGGCCAATTTTTCTATTTTTAGTAGAGAGTGTTTCGCCACGTTGACCAGGCTGGTCTCAAACTCCTGAGCTCAGGTGATCTGCCCCCCTTGGTTTCCCAAGGTGCTGGGATTACTGGCGTGAGCCACTGCGCCCAGTCTCCCACCCCAATTTGACCAGCAGGCCCCACCTAGAGTCTCCCATTTTCACATCCGGTCGGTTTCCTCTCCGAGTGTGTCATTGTTCCCATTTCACAGATGGGGAAACAGGCTTAGAAATGAAGCCGGTTGACCAAGATGGTCCACAGCAGGGTCCAGATTCCTTGCAAATGAGAACAAAGATGTAAGCACTATAAGATCAGGCACTCTGCAGGGCTCACTGCTTTTTTTTTTTAGTTAATTTTCTCAATATAGACAGGGTCTCCCTATGATGCCCGGGCTGGTCTTGAACTCCTGGTCTCAAGTGATCCTCCTGCCTTGGCCTCCCAAAGTGCTGGGATGACAGGCGTGAGCCACTGCACCCGACCAGGGCTCACTGCTTTCTTCTCAGTGGCTGCACCAGTGCCTGCACACAGTAGGTGCTCAACAGATGTATGGGGAATGGTGGCTAAACCAAAAGCTGGGATTCCTTCCTGGTCACTGGCACAAGGCTCCACTCCTGGGTTTCATCTGCTTCAGGCTTAGGCAGTGGCTCTGCCTCCACAAACCACAGCTCTGCCCGGGCGGCACTCTTCCTCTGATCTGGGGGCTTCTGCTACAAATTCCAGGCCCAGGGTTCCAGTTCCAGCCCCCCCAACCCCCGCTCTCCTTCCCTACCTACGGGTGCATAATCTTTTTTTTTTTTTTTCCCTTTGAGACAGAGTCCCGCTCTGTCACCCAGGCAGGAGTGTAGTGGCGCCATCTCAGCTCACTGCAGCCTCTGCCTCCCGGGTTCAAGCGATTCTCCTGCCTCAGACTCTTGAGTAGCTGGGATTAACAGCACCCACTGTAAGGTTTATTCTCTGAAAGGTTTATTGCCGAGTTTAAAATGGGGAAACTGAGGCCTGCATGAGAACAATTAGACACCAATTTATTCAGCTCCTGGGCGAGGTTCCATAGCCCAGGGAGGGGGGCCAGAGAAGTCGCGCCTGAGTCAGGCGTGGGGTCCTATAGGAAGGGAAGGTGCTCTGATTGGCTGTGGAGAAACAGCACGTGGGTGTGGCAAGCGGCTCTAAGTAGGTAGGCGGGATTTCCGGCCAGAGGGCTGGACAGGGCAATGCGCTCGCTATTGGGCAGGTTTTGGCGGGGCGTCTTTTAAATTTTGGCGGGGGTTTCCAACGGCTGGCTAGGTGCCTGGTGCAGAGTTTAGTGTGGAGTGCAGAGCCTGGTGCTGAGTGCAGAGGGGATTTCCAAGGTGGGCTAGGTGCCGAGTGCAGAGTTTAGTGTAGAGTGCAAAGCCGGGTGTGGAGTGCAGAGGGGATTTCCAAGGTGGGCTAGGTGCCGAGTGCAGAGTTTAGTGCCGAGTGCAGAGGGGATTTCCAAGGTGGGCTAGGTGCCGAGTGCAGAGTTTAGTGCCGAGTGCAGAGGGGATTTCCAAGGTGGGCTAGGTGCCGAGTGCAGAGTTTAGTGCCGAGTGCAGAGGGGATTTCCAAGGTGGGCTAGGTGCCGAGTGCAGAGTTTAGTGCCGAGTGCAGAGGGGGTTTCCAAGGTGGGCTAGGTGCCGAGTGCAGAGTTTAGTGCCGAGTGCAGAGGGGGTTTCCAAGGTGGGCTAGGTGCCGAGTGCAGAGTTTAGTGCCGAGTGCAGAGGGGGTTTCCAAGGTGGGCTAGGTGCCGAGTGCAGAGTTTAGTGTTGAGTGCAGAGGTGGGCGTGGCAAAGCTAGATGCTGCGTGCAGGTTCTGGTGACGTAATTTTCAGGGGTGGAGAGGGATGGGCGAGTCTGAGCTCCCAGGGAGGCAACTGGCCTTACACCCACCCCCACGCCTGGCTTTGTATTTTTAGTAGAGACGGGGTTTCGCCACGTTGGCCAGGCTGGTCTTGACCTCCTGACGTCGGGCAATCCACCCGCTTCAGCCTCCCAAAGCGCTGGGATTGCAGGTGTGAGCCTCGGCACCCAGCCCAGGTGCATCATCTTGTTCCTCAAAACAGACTAAGGAACCGAGTCTCCCTCCTGAGGCAGTTGTCCTCAGTCTGGAAGAGAACTGTCCCCTGGATCTGAGCTGGAGATCTGGAACTCTCCTTTTCACCCTCCCCTCCTGGGACCACCCCGCTTTCTCCTTAGAGGGGCCTGGACAGACCATCCCTGGCCCCATCCACTCACAGCCACGCTTCCAGACCCCCAGCTCGCTCCCAACTCGGGAGTCCTGACTCCTCCTCGGACGTCTCAGGCACCCCGAGACTGGATCCCTAACCCGGACGCTCCGGGGCCTTGGAAGTCTGAGTCCCCACCCCTTGCAAGACACAAGCGCCCTCCCTTTAGGACACCGGCGGCCCAGGCCCCCAATCTCAGCAAACCCACGGGGTCCAAGGAGGGCAGGCCTCAGGTGCCACCCTCCCAACCCTGCCAAGTCCCAGCTTTGGTCCTCAGGGGGCCCGGGAATTGGGGGGCCCATAGCGCCTCCCCTCAGCGGTGGGGGCAGCTGAGCCAGGGGTCAGGCTGTCATGGGGAGGCCAGAAGGGGCGGGGACAGCCGGGACTGGGAGGGCAGAACGGCGGCGTGGGCGGCTGGCAGAGGCCGGGAAAGACCAGCAGAGAGGAAGGAGAAACTGGGAGAGGGAGGAAGGGAGAAAGTGAGAAGGGAAATCGGAAAGAGAAAGGGGAGGAAACGGCAGACGTGGAGAGCTGGGGGGAGAGAGAGAGGAAGAGACTGGGAGTGAGGGAGAGAGGAAACGGGGTGACAGCGTCGGGGGGGGGCGAATGAAGGAGAGACTTAAGGAAGAGACCCTGTGAGTCTGGCAATAAAAGATTTGGACAGAAACAGATTGGAGAGACAGAGGGAGGGAGGGAGACAACGAGCGAGAGAGAGACTGGAAGAGATAGAGATCAGCGAGAGACGCAGAAGGTGGGACTGGGGGGAGAGAGAGAGACAGACAGACAGAGAGACAGACAGAGAGACAGAGGACGTAAGAGACGGGAGACAGAGACACAAAGTGCGAGTGAGCAGGTGAAGAGAGATCTAGCGCGATGAGAGACAGCCGCTAAGAGACAAAGGAGGCGGGAGACTGCCTGGGTGCCCCTCGCCCCTGTCCTCGGGACCCCAGAGCTGGGTAAGTTCCCCGGCTGCGCTGGGAGGGGCTCCCTGGGTGCACATTCCTGGTGCTGCACGACTTGGCTTGGGGAGTTGGCAGGGATGGTTTGGGGGTGCGTGTGGGAGGGCAAGAGACAGGTAGCCGGGGACAGCAGGAAGGAGGCAGGGAATGGGGGGTCCATGAGCACAGAGAGGATCAAATTCCTGTCCTGAGTCCAGTGGGCAGGAATAAAGGAGCCCCTATTCTCCCGCCTGGGCTACAGACAGCTGCCCCCTCCCACAGCTGCCAGGGCCGCCTACCTCTCTTGGCACCACTCTTGGTATGTGGTCACAGGCCATGGCCTCCCCCAGCCCCCCAGTCCCGAAACAACAGGCTCTTTCTCCTCAGCCTCCTCCGACCTCCAAGCTCCTGACCCCATCCCTGTCCTGCACCCGTCACTGCAGAGACACAGCCTCTTTCTTTCTCTCCCCCAGCCCTCGATGGAGGGGAGCCGACCTCGAAGCAGCCTGAGCCTGGCCAGCAGCGCTTCCACCATCTCCTCACTGAGCAGCCTGAGCCCTAAGGTTCGAGCTTCCTGGCAGGGATGGGGAGGAAGGTGGGGCTCCAGGCTGCCCATCCCTCTGTCTCCCCAAGGACTCTGGTTAACGACAAGGATCCTTAGCAACGGGGTCTGCTAGACATAGCAAGGTCCCGAATCGCCTACCAGCCACAGCTAGGAATTCAGAGGCACTCCCAGCTCTGTCCCCACCCCTTGTATTTTCCTAATTCTAAACCAGAGTAACAACCTTCTTTGACCCTGGTTGCTAAGATAAAGCCACTCCCCAGCCATGAGGCCCCTCGAGTTCTCAGAAGTAGTGGCTGCTCCTGATTAGTGCTAGAACTTGCTGTCCTATCTCTCGCCATCCAATCTACCCACTAAAGAAATCCTGTAAGGGGGGCCAGGCGCGGTGGCTCACACCTGTAAGCCCAGCAATTTGGGGGGCCGAGGCGTGTGGATCGTGAGGCCAGGAGTTCGAGACCAGCCTGACCAACATGGTAAAACCCCGTCTCTACTAAACATACAAAAATTAGCTGGGTATGGTGGTGCGTGCCTATAATCGCAGCTTCAGGAGGCTGAGGCAGGAGAACCGCTTGAACCTGGGAGGCGGAGGTTGCAGTGAGCCGAGATGGCACCACTACACTCAAGCCTGGGCAACAGAGCAAGACTCCATCTCAAAAAAAAAAAAAAAAAAGGCCAGGTGTGGTGGT